TCCCCCCCCGAGCACGGCTGCGCCAGCACGGTAGGGAATAATAAAAAAGCATTTATTTCTCTAATAATAAAACCATTTCAAGAAGCACAGGTGAGGGCCTCGGGGCGGGCCGAGCCCCCCCGGACCCCCGCGGCCAGACTGGGGGTGTCGTGTGTGTGTCCCCGCAATCATGGCGTCAGGCATTTCACGCCAGCGTCCTCGGCGTGCCCGCAGTTGGTCTTGCCCCAGCTGGAGAAGCTGCAGCGCAGAAGGCTGTCCTCTGTCCCCTTGCAGGAGACGTCGTCCATCCAGATCCTCCCCGTGCCTGCAAAAACAGGGACCCCGGTGAGCGGCGCCGGCACCGCCATCGGCACCGGCACCGCCATCGGCTGGATCCCCTCCAACCAAGGCCCCGTGCATCGCTGCCTCACCAGGATAAAGCAGAAATAAGTCAAGCCGGTTTTGAACAAAAGGCTTCATCCGATGAGAAAATTCCCTCCCCTAACTCTTCTGTCGTCCCTTCTTTAGAGTAACGTCTATTCGTGGTGTTAAACTATGTATTAGTTCCCGTTGTATGCTGGAATGGAAAGAGGTAGCGGAGTTTTACTGGGGATTTTTGTATTTTTCATGCTTGAGGACTAGAAATAAGGATTTTGCTTCTTGGAAGCTTCACGGAGGATGAAGGATGCCCCTGGACAACGAGATAACGGCAGCATCCCGTAGCCCCCCGACACGGCTTCGAGACCCTCCCAGCATAGCCCGGTGTCGGAGATTGGGGACTGGAGCAAGGCCGGCTCCAGGGACGTCTGGATCAATAGGGAAGCAGCAAGAATGCTGCAAAAATAGAGTTGCTTTGCAAAATTTTCCTATGATTAGTACTCAGCAGCGTGGGTGTTGATTAGTCCAGTATGGTGCACCCAAACGCTTGAAGGGCAGAAGAACCCCCGGTAAAACCACATTTGGGTGCCCCGGTTTGGCTGGGCCACCCCACGTGCAAGAATAAATATCGATTTTGGGGATTTTGCACTTTGCACACCAGCCCCTCTCCTCGGTCGGCACGAATTTTCAGCAGGTTTGCAGGTGACACCAAGCTGAGGGGTGCGGTCGACACGCCTGAGGGACGGGATGGCATCCAGAGGGACCTGGGCAGGCTGGAGAGGTGGGCCCGTGTGAACCTCATGGGCTCAACGAGGCCAAGGGCAAGGTCCTGCACCGGGGTCGGGGCAACCCCCGGTATCAGCACAGGCTGGGGGACGGAGGGATG